TCATTTAGGCAAATAAGTGAGGAGAATCTGAATTTATTTTCCCTTTTTTTTTTTTTTTTTGGTGGAACCAGGGATAGAACTCAGGCCCTTCCACTTGCCAAGGAAACGCTTATTCCACTGAGCCATCTCCCCGCACCCCCCTTTTTTGTGTGGTGGAATCAAACCTGGTAGTTAGGTATGCTAGGCAAGCATTATCACCGGCCCTAAGTTAGTTAGTTAGTTTCTTTCTTTCTTTCTTTCTTTCTTTCTTTCTTTCTTTGGCAAAGTCTTGCTATGTAGTTGAAGCTAGTCTTAAACTCACTGTGTAGCCCAGACTGACTTTAAATTCATGGTGATCCTCTTGGCTCGGCCTCCTGAGTGGTGGGATTACAGGAGTGTGTAACACCATGTCTGGCCAGCCCTAAATTTGAGTCAGGGAAGAAGATGATGAAAAGAGCGAAGGGACAAAGAGGAGGAAGAGGAGCACACAGAGGGGATGCAGCTCTCAGTGGAGGGAGATGGCTAAGAGAACCCTGAAGCCCTCACAAAGTAGTTACTAAAAGTTGTTTGCTCTGTGGGTACAATGTGGATCCTTCGAGGAACCCTCAAACCTTCATGGAATTGGTTTGACTCTCTGTTGTTCTTTGAGGGTAGAATCCAGAAAGTGGCTCTTTCTCATCTAGGCCAAAGAAGAGCCTAAGGACTGTAAGGACAGAGGGGAGGATCTATACCAGCCATGGCAAATTTATGGCATGCGTTCTGGCACAGGCTGTTTGTGTCATTGAAAGCTCTAAAAGGTTCCCAATCACTGGTCTAGAAGCTGAGGAGACTATACACCAGCCCCACCCAACCCTCTTTCTAGGGACTCAGATTTTATCTTGCTGTGTGGTCCAGGTAATCTTCTTGCCTCATTCTCCCAAGTGCTGGGATTACAGGCATGCATGTACCCTCCCCCGGGGGTGGGCCTGTGGGATGGGGTTGGTCTTTGGAGCTGAGCATTGAGACTAGACCTCAGACCAACTCCCTGTGTATCATCCACTGGCCTTTGTCTTCCACAGCCACCACGTGAATATGCTTTCTCTTTTAACTGTGAATAGAGATCAACAAGAGGGCCTCAGGGCAGCCACTTCTCTGGTCTGTCCTTTGGGAATGTCACAAACTAGTAGGTTAAGTAGTGACAAAACAGCGGGAGGATATGACCATCTTTGTTCTTGTGAGGTGCGGAACTGCAAAGCATCGGGCAAGAAGGCTGAGGATCTGATGGACAGCATCTGGTGCCCGCAAGTCTGCCATCGCCCAACATATGTGTGGGAAGACACCCGCTGTCTTGGGATGAGCTGTCAGCACCTGTGTAAACCTATAAACCCTTCCCAGCAACATGGACTCCAGACAAGGGTTCTCCGTCTTGTAGACCAGCTGGATTTTGAGTCGTCGCTTTCCTTGCTTCCATTCCCTGTGGACCTAATTGATTCTTGTACAGTTGGACTTGGGTCTCCTAATGCTTCCTTGGGACTCAGAGAAAACTGCAGGTGACTTTTTTTCTGTACTTTGTGGAGCTAGGGGTTGGGGTAATCTCAACCTCTCAGCTGTACTTAATGAGGCAAAGGGGCCTCAGAAGATGTCTGGACGCTTCTGGGCTTGTGAGTGTGCAGAAAAAGCCCGAAACTGTTTGAGTCGGTGCTGCCTGCGGGAGGAGTGTGCTGTAGGAGAGAGGAAGGTTTTCATTTTTGCCTGGCATGGTAGTGTATTTCCATAATCCCAGCACTCTGGCGGCTGAGGCAGGAAGATCACAAGTTCAAGGCCAGACTGGATTAAGTCATGAGACCCTATCTCCAAAAACAAAACAAAACAAAA